TATGTTAGCTATATCCAAACCACAACTGATTTCAATATAATTTGGCAATTTTTTCTCGTGCCAGATTTTGTCTCTATGGCTTTGGGTGCATCAAATATGTGAAATCGGCTGAGTATATATATGGGAGCTATAATCAAATCTGAGCGTATTTGAATATAATTTGTCAAATTTATTTTTGTGCCAAATTTAGCCACTCATGCCGAATTTCATTGGAATCGGAAATACGTATCGTGTTTTGTGCATCAAATATGTGAAATCGGTAGAAAATATATATGGGAGCTATATCCAAATCTGAACCGATTTTAATATAATTTGACTAATTTATTTTCTAATCAAAATCCCGTTACATATTCCAAATTTCTTTGGAATCGAATATACATATCGTGTATGGTGCATAAAATACATGAAATCGGTCGAAAATATATACGAGAGCTATATCCAAATCTGAACCGATTTTAATATAATTTAACAAATGTATATTTGTTTTAATTTCCGCTACACATTCCAAATTTCATTGAAATTAGAGATACATAGCGTGTTTGGTGCATCAAATACATGAAATCGGTCGATAATATATATGGGAGCAATATCCAAATCTGAACCGATTTCAATATAATTTGACAAATTTATTTTCGGATTAAATCCCGTCACACATTCCAAATTTCATTGGAATCGAACATTCATATTGTGTTTGAGGCATCAAATGAACGAAATCGGTCGAAAATATATATATATATCATTGAAATTAGAGATACATAGCGTGTTTGGTGCATCAAATACATGAAATCGGTCGAAAATATATATGGGAGCTATATCCAAATCTGAACCGATTTCAGTTTAATTTGACAAATTCATTTTGGCTCCCAATTCCGTTAATTATTTTAAATTTCATTACAATTGGAAATACATATTGTGTTTGGTCCACCAAATACATGAAATCGGCCGAAAATGTATATGGGAGCTATATCCAAATCTGAACCGATTTCACTATAATTTGGGAAATCAATTTTTTAGATAAAATCTATCACACGTTTCAAATTTCATTGAAATTGGGGATACATAGCGTGTTTGGTGCATCAAATGCTTGAAATCGGCCGAAAATATATATGGGGGCTATATCCAAATCTGAACCGATTTCAATATAATTTGACAAATTTATTTTCGGATTAAATCCCGTCACACATTCCAAATTTCATTAGAATCGAACATTCATATTGTGTTTGAGGCATCAAATGAGCGAAATCAGTCGAAAATATATATGGGAGCTATATCCAAATCTGAACCGATTACAATATAATTTGGCAAACTTATTTTTGTTCCAAATTCCGTTACGTATTCCAAATTTGGAGACTGTGTCTTCAACCAATCAATAGATATGTGCATATAAAATCTAAAGCTTTGGGAGGTACCTCCGATTCTGATGCTATATCTCCAGTTCCAAGTGGAAATTCAAAAATGTATATAGCCTATGTTACTTTCAGGCGATGTTGCAGTATATATGGAAATTTTCAGGAAAATCTATTCAGCGGTTTTCGAGTCCATAAATTACAAACAAACAAACATACAAACATTTTCCTCTTTTATAGATATAGATTTATTTTCGTAACTTCTGTAAATATAGTTTTAAAGTAAAGTAAAGGTAAATACATAATCTTCCTTAACTCTAAGATGTGCGCTTTACCTCATTTTCTAATTTTGAGTTCATTATTTTGACGTTGAAATAGATATGTGTAGTTTGTGATATAATAGTAATTGAACAATTGACCTCTCGATATGACGTATCTATTTCCATTTCGTTATTGTTATATTTCGCTACCGCCTTTTTTATCCATATTTTTGCATTGCATTTGGAATTATTGGATGCAACATAGCGAAAAGTAACACATTACATCTACATACTGGTTCAAACAAATATATGTGTATGTTCGTACACCATGCCTATGTGGAAATACTTGCAAATTGGTACGCATGCGTTGTTGAGATAAGAAAAGTCCAATCAATTTCCTCTTCCTGTCATTTTACATAACTATTACGAATATATTCAAATTCGGTCGCGATATATATTGTCCGTTGACCTGAGTCAAAAATACATTTTATTGATACATATAAAGGAATTTTCTGCGGTTTATTCCATGTTCAAATTCAAATACAGTAATTTTTCTTTTTTATTATTTAGACAAATTTATGCAGAATAAAAATAGAAAGAAAAAATCGTAGACATCGAATGATAATATTTTTCCTTCACATTTTAGAACAAGTTTCTTCATTCGATTTGATCTATAACACTCTTAAGAATATGGGCAATTTGCCAAAACATAAGCATGACTGTATGATCTCCAAAATTTATCAAAGTGTTTGTGAATTAAAAAAACAAGAACACAATTATCTCTACGACTAATTAAGAATAAAAATTAGAGACACTGGATTTTTTACCGCAAAAAAAAGTATTTAAATTTATAGAAATAAACATGGGTTCAAACAAGCAAAAAAATATTAAGTTCCGCTGGTCCGGAATTTTCATACACTGGACCTACATCGACAAATTTGAAATATTTTATGTAAAAACTGTGCCTTAAATCAGAAAATTACTGAATATATTTAATTTATTACAAACTCTTGCATTTTTTTATGAAATTTTTCCAATGGTAGTAATTTCTACCCTTACTCCGGGAAAACCTTTTTTCTTGAGGAACGGAGACGGGTATTGGACCCGAAAGTAAGAGTATAAGAAAAGTATTAGACCCACATCTACTAAACTGATATAGACATAGGTATCGTCGGGTCCAATTGAAATGAAAACACCTATCCAACAAGAGGTCACGGATCCTGAGATATTAGCTTTGCAATTATATTCGCGAACCAAATTTTCCTAAATTTGGTACTTTTTTATCTAGCAGGCCGGGGCTTGAGATTTTATCCCCTGTGTATGTCCAACACCGGCGACGCAAACTCAAGTTTGCGTGCATTTTAATGAAATGAGCAGTATCAACTATGGTTTCACATATATTTTGTGAATGCCCATAATAGAACCTTTTTCAGCTTTTGTAGGATTTTATAAGAAAAAAAACGCTTCCAAAAATTGACAATTTTGATATAGCTCAAGGGTTTTAAGTAACCCCATCATATGACACATTTTTTAATCAAAACGTCATACATTGTACTAAATTTTCACAATATTCTTTTATTTTTTCATATATTAAACAAGTTTTACCTTTTTCGGAATGAATAATAGGAAAATCCTTACCTTTTACACCAAAAATTCTGCGAAATCCTTGATTTTGAGGTTCACTTAGGATGATATAAGTAAAAACTTTGCACAATGGACCCACATCCTATCTTTTATCCAAAACTACAAACCATATTTGGGCCCTAGAAAACAACAGTGACCTCAACAAATAATTTCAGAATTTTAGCTCTGTTCCTTCACCTACATTTGCTCTATATACTAACAGTTCCCCAATCCCAAGTTTCAGATTTCAAGCAATAGCTGTAGCATTTAGTACCTTTCGTACGCTTACCAGACGAGTTTCCAATACCAACTCTTTATCTTAACCCTACCCACCGGCAATGACTGTGATATTTTACCACTATCTGTTCACATAATTCCAAAATGTGCATTTTAGTACTTTTGTTACACTTATTGTTAGAATTTTGAAAGATCCTTTAGTATGCTCTACTTCTTCCTGAAATAGTAAAGTTAGTACTACTTAATAGTACAAATTTCCATCCCCCGCCATGTATCGACCAAAACGCATCCCTAATTTCTAATTTTAGACGTCATAATCAATTCCTTACTGGAATATCCAATCTTCAATTCTAAACCACCAAAAATTATATTATATCGACAATTGTTTTTTACAAAACATCCGGAGGTACTATCATATGGGGACTATATGAAAACGTGGACGAACTTGACCTGCAACGAAATACACACATGTGTAAAGTTTTATCCTTATATCTCAATTCGTTCAAAAAATGACGTTACAGACTAACATAGAATTTTGCGCTGGTCAAGAACATATCTACTTTAAGGACGTACAGTAATTATTTCGAAAGCTACGAACGGAAAAGACTATTAACTTTGTCCATCCGTATAAAATGTATTAATTTGTGTAGAATTAACTCAACACAATCCGAGGCGTTTTTAAAAACATAGCAAAAGGTATTAGCTAAATTTCACAATTATTTTATATGAATAGATTAAAAATGTTTGGTAAACTTCAATTGTTGTTCAATTGTTGGATACAAAAAATATGTTAAAACTTGAACTTTCTGCAGTCCACCGATTTTTGAACCTGAACATAAAAATTACAATTATTTGCGGGCCGATATCATTCTCTTGCATGACATTTACATAACTGCATTAACATCTCTCTAGTTTCTGCCGAATATGAAGGTGCAATGAAGAATGCACTCTCCTTCATTTCAATAAGTTATGATGCCGTTAAAAGGAAATCTTTGATGGATTCTAAATGTTTTTTACTCCAACAAATAAGTATGAACCATAGGCAGTTATCTTGGTTTCTATTCTGTGGAATAACCCCGAATTTTTGTCCATTATTGCATACTATTTGTCGCAATATGACTGGGATTTGCATTTTTTTTTGTGAATATGTCACTGCTTTCTCTCCATTTCATTAATACATGCAGCTGAATTTTTTTCATTTTTTTAGATACATTATTAATAAATTTCATATACATAATATTTTACAGAAAAACGTCCAAACTTTTAATTACCAAAACTATTGTGTCCTCAGTGGCAACACTGATCAACGGCGACATTGTTACTTAAACCAGTTCATGGATGGCATCTTTCTTATTTTTCTAATTGGAACCATAACGTTTCCGCACGCAGAGAAATCAACGCGAGAGCCAGAGAGAACTAAGAATCAGAGGATGTCTTGGACTGAACTAGACCAATTCATTTCAAATGTAAACACTCAAGCGAGGCAAGCGTAGTGGAGCTTCTTATTATCCAAGATAGTTGTCATTGAACTTACCTCTTTCTCAAGTTGTCCATGAATTTTTCCGTTGTTATCTCATCGAGAAGTACAAAATCTTGTACTCCCACTTCACGGTGTTGCATTGCCATTGTTGTTGTTTGCTGTTAATATTGTTGGCGTCGTCGTTGTTGTTCTTGTACAAATTGATGTCGTTGTTGGTTTTATTTTTGTAATCAAACCAAAAGCTGAGTGTATTACGTTGGGAATCACAGTAGTAGCATATGTATGTATTATGTACAATGTAAACTTGGTATGTTTGTTGATATGTATATATCACTTTCGTTACTTTCGTTGTATTGTTTTTGTTGTCGTTGTTGTTTCTACTGATGTTGGCACGAAGAAAAACAAATAAAAAGGGCCGGATAAACATTAGTGAAAAGAGACAACGAAATTTGGTCAAAATACTCTTAAAGCATACCACTACTCACAAACACACATAAGCACGCACAAATGAATTGTAATATAGAGAACAGAGAAACAACACAAAAAACAATAGTCGAAGACACTTCATTAAAATCGATCATCCAACAAATTAAGTTTCACTGACATCGCTTAACAATCTGTCATTCGGCCAGCCAGTCTGTTTACTGTGTTGTTTACCAGGGCTATTCTGTTTGCTTTCTGTTGGATGTTTTTGACGTTTATGTTTTATGCTTCTTCCTGATCATAAATTTCACCCGTTTCATAATTTGGCCGTGTTTGTATGTACTGCGCTAAGACAATAAATTCTGCAGAACGAACGATGACGATCATGTATATGTATGTGCGTTTGAACGTTGCCCACATACATATATATATATATATATATATATATATATATATATATATATATATATATATATATATATATGGGGTTATTACTCATATACATCAGCTCTTAGAACGGCTTTTTTTGTAATTTTGCAATTGAAGCTATCTTTCGGATACAAAACAAAAACACGTAGACGTCACCGTCAACGCCGCCAAATGAGGAAGGACATAAACACAACAACACAAACTATCAAATCTCAATATCACGTTGCGTATGTATGTGTGTGTGAGTAATGCACATTTATGCGCAAACTTTACATTTGTTAATTTTTCAAACCATTCAAGTCTTAACCTTCATTCAAACGACGTTCTTCACTACCTTAGAATTTAACATGCCATAAACAAGAGGGAACAATGAAATGGGGATTAAAAACGAGAACCCTGCTAAGAACGGCAATTAAAAAATATTTAAAAGACAAACTCCGACCGACTTTGAACGTTTTAATTTTTGATATTTGCCACAAATATTTTGTTTCGTTGTTTATTGATGTTGTTGTTCCGACGACCGCGACGCACACAACCGGGCACATTGAATATAATTATTAAAATGGCAAAAAAATGTTGTCTTCATCTTTTTTGGGGAATTGAAAGAGAGGATTTTGTTGGGAGTGAAGTGAGAGAAACAAAAAAAAATCAAAAAACAAGCACTCTCAGCAGTGTTGCCAACTCATGTGTAATTACACATATTTGGTCTGTTCCAGAATTGCAGGAATGTAACAGTTTTTACTACGATAACCGATTCTCCCTTTATGATACCAAAATAATTGTAACCAATTTCAAAAAATTTTAGCTATAAAATTAATATAAATTGAATTTACGTTTGTTTTTGGGCTATTTAGTAATTTAAAAAAAAAAAAACTTTTATTAAAAAAATGTTTATACATGTGTAATTTTTCCCAAAATGTGTAATATTTTCATCCTCTGTGTATAATGTGCAGTTTCCTTAGTGGCAACACTTACTCTCAGTTAAATCCCAAGAACAAAAATCAAAACATTGGACTCTCAGCAGGGCTGCCATTTTCGCCGATTTATCGGCTTCATGACGATTTTTCACTCTAAAAAATGTAAAAACTTGATTTTCCGATTTATACCTCAAAAATAACGATATTTTAACGATTTACAAAAAATGTCTCCTATTTTAATTTAATACGGAATTAAATGTTGCCGAATTCATTTTAGTACATCTAAATAAAATAAATAAAATATATATGTCTTTTTAAGTATATTTTCAATGTTAATAATAAGACTATTTCAAAAAGAATCAACCTATAATAATCACGATATAAATTATAAAATGGAGTTACTTTTAGAAGCGTTTTAAGTAATTTCATAAAACAGAATGCTAACTGACTTTATATACACAAAAAAGTTTTATAATAAACAAAACTTCACTTCAAAATTAGCTCTTGAATTTTTAAAAAAAATAACCACATAAAAACAAACTTTAAAAAATTACCCGTTTCGGAAAACACGAATCTTTTTTAGTCTCCTACCACATGACCTTTAAACTACATTGTGTTATACATAAATCCTAAAGATCTCACCAAAGATAGAACTTTTATTTTTAAATAAAAATGTGTACACAATAATAGAAAATGAAACTTTTTTTAAAAAATCTACATTTCTGTTTAAAAGTTATTTTTTAATGTTTTTATTTTAATGTTAATTTATATACAAAACTGAATATGTTATCCTTTTCTATTAAAATGCATTGTTGTGCATATTCACTTTTATTTATTTTGTTATAAACTAAAAAATATATATTAATTTAAATTGTTAAATTATTACATATGTATTAAAGGGCTGCAAATGTGACAATTTTCTCTATTTATGCCATGGAGAGAAAACGCTCGTCATGTTGTGCCCTGTTTGATCAAACGCATAACAATACGTGACATCCAACCAAATGCTCGATGTCTCGTTATGTCGGTCACACTCAAACCCAATGTCGTAACATGTTATGACCAATAAAAGGGAATGTTGAATAGTGTGTCATACAAAAATGTTCTATCAAAAAACAACAACAATTATGAAACAATTGCCAACGAAAAAGACACACACGTGATGAAGGCAAAGAGCAATCGCTACCTGCTTTTCCGATATGTGAAAAAGTAAATTTTTTGTAATAAATAATTTCTTGGCGATTACTAAAATATTAAAGTTACTTCTAATTGGTCCACACAAAATTTTCACATTTCGTGGTTATTGACGAAACAATCTAAAATGTTAACCCTTTATTAAAAAACAATAATCCCCTGAAAATTTTTCTTATTTTGATTATAATTTCATAAATGTTTGGCTCCGGTATTGCGGTGTAAATGAGAATGAGTGCCACTGTAATTTACGTAACAACAATATATGCTTCCATTGTTCAATTCTGTGCATATTCTGTTATTGAATGTGAGTCAAATCTCTGCCCACAAACTTTAATTTTAAAAGAACACTGTATGTAGATAGAAAATATGCAAACAATATTTACCTCTTTTTTATGACCAAAATTTTATGATAATCACCAATAAATTGGGATTGTTCAGTATATATTTCATTTTTCTATTCATTTGTTGATGTCTATGCACATTTTGTTATTGAACTCTATTTTATATTTACGCGGTGTTTGTTACTTCAAAATTACAGCACACACAAAAACACATCCTCACCGTCGAAAGTAACACACACACACTCTCTCAATTTAAGCACACGTACACAAATTACACACAATTTGACGATGACACGGTTCGATGTCATCGTTGACACCCTGCATTTATGGAGAACACCATGCAAATATTCGAGTCAGCCATGCCACGATAGAACCTTAGACAATGGCACACATGAATCAAAATGGGGGATGTTGCTGGTTGTCATTGCCTATCAAATACATAGCGCATGATTGAGTAGACAAAGTCAGTGTGTCGAAAAAAGCATAATTCATACAATTCGTCTTGTGCAGGCCTTTGATATGTATATACGTTGCCGATTTTTAAATATGAAAATGCCGATTTTTTTTCTGAAAATTTTACGTTTTTTCTAGAAAATTTGTTGGCAGCCCTGAATCTCAGTTAAATCATAGACAAAAAAAGACATCTTAAAAATTCTCTCAAGTACGAAAAGATTTTGTGGACATTATCTTCTTAATGAAACCATATATTTTCAATACTGGTATTGTAAAATGTTTAAAAGTGTCCAAAGCAGCATTTTGCATTACAACATTTCGCACATTCTGTGAGAAAATTTGATAATTAGTTAAAAATAAAAATGCCCTACAAGTTCCAATCTTGAGCGTTCAATTTCGATCAAATTATATGGCTATGGTTATCACTTTTCCTCTAATGTACTTTTGTCTGTGGTGAGCGTCGTTTGTTTCCAATTTGAGCGATGTGGTGCACTACAAAGCCAATCGCAGCAGAAATGACGTGTCATCATTTTTCCGTGATTAGCAGACGTTATCGATTTTCCGTGATTAGCAAAGAATTTTGCCAGTTTGGAGAACCATCTACATGTAAAATGTGTAACTGCGCTGTACTAAAAAACACTTTGACTCTAACCAAAGACACATAATATAATGAGACATTGCATTTTCACTTTTCTTCAATAGATGGCGTTGTAGTGGAAAAATATGTTATGTCACGATATCGTGCATAGACAAATGAAGATATAGACAATGAAAAGTTAGTTTTGTCTTTTTATCCAGGTGGCTTTTATCATGTTGTGCGTAGTCAACATGCTGATTTACGCGTTCAACCCACTCGACTTCGACATTTTATCGTTTTTCAAGAATTTTACTTGATTATTCCGGAATTTTTTGATGTCATCACGTAATTTTCACATTTATTTTATTATGGAACAATTTCCAACTGACAAATATCCTACAGTTTTTGTTATTTTTAACGTTTTTGAATTGAGTGACTTCAATATTCCCACTCAAACCCCTGAAACGATATAGACGACATCTGCTGATTCGATTTTTTTCGAAGATGAACGGTGAGAGCATTTGGTTGTCTATATTTTCATTTGTCTATGGATCAAATTATATGGCTATGGTTATCACTTTTCCTCTAATGTACTTTTGTCTGTGGTGAGCGTCGTTTGTTTCCAATTTGAGCGATGTGGTGCACTACAAAGCCAATCGCAGCAGAAATGACGTGTCATCATTTTTCCGTGATTAGCAGACGTTATCGATTTTCCGTGATTAGCAAAGAATTTTGCCAGTTTGGAGAACCATCTACATGTAAAATGTGTAACTGCGCTGTACTAAAAAACACTTTGACTCTAACCAAAGACACATAATATAATGAGACATTGCATTTTCACTTTTCTTCAATAGATGGCGTTGTAGTGGAAAAATATGTTATGTCACGATATCGTGCATAGACAAATGAAGATATAGACAATGAAAAGTTAGTTTTGTCTTTTTATCCAGGTGGCTTTTATCATGTTGTGCGTAGTCAACATGCTGATTTACGCGTTCAACCCACTCGACTTCGACATTTTATCGTTTTTCAAGAATTTTACTTGATTATTCCGGAATTTTTTGATGTCATCACGTAATTTTCACATTTATTTTATTATGGAACAATTTCCAACTGACAAATATCCTACAGTTTTTGTTATTTTTAACGTTTTTGAATTGAGTGACTTCAATATTCCCACTCAAACCCCTGAAACGATATAGACGACATCTGCTGATTCGATTTTTTTCGAAGATGAACGGTGAGAGCATTTGGTTGTCTATATTTTCATTTGTCTATGTACATCATAGACAAATGAAAATATAGACAACGAAATGCTCTCACCGTTTATCTTCGAAAAAAATCGAATCAGCAGATGTCGTTCATATCGTTTCAGGGGTTTGAGTGGGAATATTGAAGTCACTCAATTCTAAAACGTTAAAAATAACAAAAACTGTAGGATATTTGCCAGTTGAAAATTATTTCATAATAAAAGAAATGTGAAAAGTACGTGATGACATCGAAAAATATAGGAAAATTCCAGTGAAATTCTTGAAAAACGATAAAATGTGTTTTCGAAGTCGAGTGGCTTGAACGCGTAAATCAGCATGTTGACTATGCAAAACAAGATGAGAGCCACCTGGAAAAAAAGACAAAACTAACTTTTCGTTGTCTATATTTTCATTTGTCTATGCTATGTATAATATCTGTTGCTTTTCTCCGCGGTCTTCCGCCATTTTTTCACGTCTTCAGAATGGCATATTTTTTGTATCGTTTCAATGCATTTTTGACATGGCGTCGGTCATCTATTGCCTGATCGAAACATTAATATGTCATATGCATTGCAGAGCAGCATTACGAATAAAATTTTTTGTAAATCAAAAAGTTGGCTTGACGATTCCAAATAATTGAATATTACATTTACCGTTGAAATCACTTCACAATGGTAAGTACGTTGTTTTTGTTTTATGAAAATGTGAAATCACAACTTTTATAAAAGGAATAAATGTCAAATGAAAAATTTTGTCATTTACAGCATTAAGTTTTTATGCGCTTTTATATGCATTTGATTATAAAGGTCTATATAATCAAACATAAACGTATTCCAATCATTAG